TTTCTCTTGCTTCATAATATAAAAATTATGCAATAAAGTTATATAAATATATAAATATATTACACGTAAAGTATATCATGTCCGTAAGACAGGTCGGCCCTGGTATTTTATAGTTGATCTTAAATTTCAAATGGCATTAAACTCATCGAAAATAGTGAGAACATAATTTATTATGAAATAAAATAAAAAACTGTAAACACCATTTTAAAGTGATATGGAGGGAGTACATCTCTTTCACGCTCATCCATCAAACTTTCCGTTGTTGTTATTACTTTTCTTGGTAAATCCGAACAGTTTAAGTAATACAAACACAATCACTATGATGTTCACTACTATGCTAACGAACAACACCCATGTCCACCATACTAACATTGTAAAAGTAACTATAAGAGGTTTTGTTTTTGAAAGATGAAGTGGTCGGAATTTTCAACTGTTACTTCCACCTGTAGGTATCAAATTTACAATATGACAAATAGGATATGTAAAGCAAAAACTACAAATAACTAAAATTAAAATACAAGAATATAATATTATAGTTGGATAAAATTGAACTGAAACAGCGTTGAGATTAAGATTTTTTCCTGAATTCTTTTAACGTTTGTATTTCTAGTTTGAATACGCTTAAGAACCTCAGCATACGATTCCCTATATCTTTAGTCTCGCAACTCGTGAAAACCAAAGTCTGTCAAATCTATATGTACGTTATACTCTCAAAAATTTGTTGCATTGGATATGTTTCAGAATGAGATGAACATGGCTTTTTATAACCTCATAAAATAATGTGTGGATCTAATTGCACTAAAGGGAGATTGTATTTTGGTTCTCTCATGAAGGCAATATCAGAGGTGGGTAGATTTTTTTATGTTACAAAATTAAATTCAAAATTAAATTTTCATTATTCAAATATTCAGTCAAAAACATAGTCTAATGAGAAATCACCCATTTATGGTAAAACTGTAAAATATATTTTATTTTTATATTTATATTTTCATGATTAGATTGTTCTTTATACTATTTATGTTTTTTTTATTTTCTTCAAAATTTAGTATATAGATTATACTATCATTAAGAGATGAAATACCATAATATAAATTAACATAGGTAAATAAATTTATATTTCTATGGAGTCTTAAGATGAAGATTATGTTCCGATCGTAGGAACTGTGGATCTGGTCGAATCTGGTTTTGAAGATGACAGTCCAGAAGAACATAATCAACCTCGAAGGGAGAGAAGAAAAAAAAAGATGCAAAAGCATTGTTATCATCTAAACGGCATTGGATGATGATATACTCTTAAGGATCTCTGCAGCAAACACAGTTCATGAAGTGTGGGAGATTCTGTAGCGAGAGTATATGGAGCAGAGAAGCTGATCATGGTGAAGTTGCATACTATACGGTAAAAGTATGAAACTTTGTGTATGGAGAAGAGGAAAATTGTTAAAGAGTACCTATCTAGAGTCTCTTTGATTGTGAATCAGATGAAGGCTTATGGTGAGTTTCCCACCGACGAGAACATCGTGATCAAGGTGCTGAGGAGTCTATCATTGCATTTTGAGTATGTTGTTCAAGCAATCATTGAGTCGAATGATCTGAGAACATACACATTTGATGAACTGATGAGTTCTTTGCTGGCTCATGAAGATCGATTTAGAAAAGCCAATGAGAAAGCTGAAGAAAAAGCTTTTGACGTGAATGAAGATTTTTCAGAAAATGGAAGATCTGGGTATTATGGAAGCCAAGGCAGAGGTAGTTATCATGGTCGAGGCCGTGTTTATGGAAGAGGAAGGGGTGGATTCAATGAGCAGAATCAACACCAAGGTTCATATGAAGAAGATCAAAGTTATCACATCAATGGATACAAGGATCAAGGTGAGAAATATTCAATGTAGATACTGCAAGAAGTTTGGGAGCAAGGACGCTGATTGCTGGTCCAAACAAAGGAATTATCAGATATCAAATTTTGCTCAAGATGTTGAGAAAAGAGAGTAAGTTGTTTATGACGCATTCTACTTGCACAAGTGCGTCTGATGTGGTGTGTTCCAATCACATGGAAGGAAAAAAGTCGATGTTCAGGGAGATTGATGAGTCAAAGAAGAGTGAAGTCAGACTTGGAGATGGCACAACACTGAAAGTTGAAGGAACTATTGCCATCAAAACAGAACAAGGTGATGTTAAAATTTCATATGATGTGCAGTATGTTCCTAGTCTTGCTCATAATCTACTAAGTGTTGGACAGCTTCTTACAAGTGGTTATAAGGTTGTGTTTGACGAGGCTGCTTGTGCAAAAAGTGATAAAACGACTGGGAAAGTTTTAGCACTTATTCACAGGAAAGACATAATGATGTTTTCTCTTGACGTATTAACTGTTCAAGGGAAAGATTTGGTTGCACAGGTTAAAGGCGACGCAGAGATAAACATGTGGCATTGGCGTTATAGACGTGAATGGGTTGAAATTCCTGAAGAAAGAAGAAAAGTTGTATGTTTCTGGTCCTCTGTATTTTGAAGAAGCAGAGAGATCTCTGGAGTGGCAGATTGCAATAAAAAAAGAAATACAATCTATGGAGAAGAATTGTACATGGGAATTCCACATAAAGAAGGAGCAAGGAAAAGATGAAATCTTTGAGTGTCAAAAGAAGTATATTTTTAATTTGGTGAAGAAGTTCAACATGTGTGACTGTGAGAATGAATAAAAAACGATTATTGTACGTGGTACACAATGTTCATTTTCAAATTTATTTTTTGGACAGACATACACTATGCAGAGAGTTCGGATGATAAGAAAAACTGTTTGGGAAGTTGTTTGAGTTTTGGGTTTGGTGATGTTATTTAGAGTTCAAAGAAGCAGAAGACCGTGACACTATCATCATCTGAAGCAGAGTATATGGCAGAAAGTGCAATAACAAGACAAGTTCTATGGTTAAAGAAGTTGTTAGCTGATTTATGTCTTGAACAAGTTAAAACTACAGAGATAGCATTTCATGACATGGCCAAGAAGTTTGGAGTATGCAACTTTGAATCAATGGGGAGTGTTGATTGATTCAAAATCAATCTAATTTTTAAGAAATAATAGAATTTATGGGTTAGTAACATGGATTTTTTTACTAGTTATTAGAAGTTTATTATTTAGTTTTTAATTATGGGATAATGGGACAGTTATCTAACCTTTATGTATTTGTTATTTTGTAATTTTTTTTTTATGTTATTCTATTTCAATCAAGCTTCCTTTCTCTGAAATTCTCTGACAATTACAATATGTAGTAAAAATTTCGCTTCAATTTGATCTAAACTTTCCTCTTGTTTATCATCGGTGAAGCATGGTTCCTTTCTGGTCATGGTCGAGTGAAAGATGTTCGGAATACAAGAACCAGGGAAATTGAGTTGATGCAGTGGCTTTGGGGAAGAAACATCGCTAGAATCTTCTCTGTAGAGGCGAAGAAGTTAGGCGGTGGTGAGAAGGACGGTAAAGATGAGTTGTGACCTTCAATACACCAAGAACAGCCACGTCGCAATTACTCTTCCAGTTTCCCACACATATTTTATAGTAGAACGTCTATAAATTAATATTGTTGGAATTTTAAAATTTTATTAATTTATATAAATATTAATTTACAAAAGTTTTTTTTTGAATATTTTGACTATTTTATTTATAAAATAAGAAAATATTTTATTTTATTGTCGTTACATTATTTAAATTTTAGAAATTTTTATTATTATATTGTTTTATTATCTTATTTAGTGTATATTTTTATGTTTGATAGAATTGTTATGTGGTTTTCGATATAAGTTTACTAAATATTATCAAAATATATTGAAATGTTAAGAAAAATAGAGGTATTTTCATTGTGAACATAAAACCAACAATATAATGTTTAGATGGTATTTATATGAAATATACATATATATATATATAGATTATTAATTTATGATTTGATTGGGATTATATATTTATATGAAAGTTTTAAAAATATTATTATCTTATTATTTTATAGATTTTTTTTTATCTTTTACACCGGTCCAAATTGGGACTGGTGAAATTTATTAATTTATACAGATTATTAATTTATCGAGTATTAATTATAGAGGTTTTGGCTTGAAACCTATTTTGTGCTCCAAACTAGCTTAAAAGCTTTAATAAAACTAAAGTAGCTGACAAAAAAAGAGTAAAACAAAGTCAAAAACTTCTTTTAAGCAAAAGAAAAAAGTCTTAAGTTCCTTTTAAATAACGATATCAAATTGTATTGGATTATAATTTCGTTTTGAGCTTAGGCTCATGGCTGTACGTACGCATCCGATTTTTTGAATTTTCAGTATATAAGCTTTGTCGACAAAAAAAAGAAAGAAACGATCTTTCGTTCCTCGTAGAGATGCCGTGCCAAAAGAATCAGATATCACATTTTCCACAGACTTTCTCATATTTTGAAGGAGATTTTATTCCAAAGTTTTTATATAAAATGGAGTAAGATTTTTTTTTTTTTACTAATAGAGTATTCTGATCTCAATGAAGTAGTCCAGATGAGAGATCGAAACGAACAAAGACCATGCCAGAACGTTACCATGTGGCTTACCTATAACAGTCTTCAGTATCAGACACCGTAGGATCTGCATGTAAATTCTCTAGTAACCAAGTTTCGAATCCAGGTGGCAAAACACACAACCATGAGTTCTTTACTACCGGAGGTAGAAACTCCGGTTAAATGGAGGAAGATAGTACTACCAAACTATAAAAAATAGTTTCACCTTTGAATAACCACGTTTTTGTTGACCACCAACCAATAAAAATTATTACATTAAAAAAAAAAATTATTACATTACATATTTGGGCAACACACGTTAAAACTATATATCTACGAACACAGGAAAAAGCAAATAATATAAGAAAGATACAGAGTAAGTACTAAACAAACAAAATGGAGATATGGCTACTCATCTTGGTCTCTTTCTCCGTATCTCTGCTTCTCCATCTCCTCTTCTCCCGCCGACGTCAATCCTCCTCTCCTCCTCTACCTCCTGACCCCCAACTTCCTCCCCTTTGTCGGAACCATCGGGTGGCTCCGAAAAGGCTTTAGCCTGCCATCAGGCGAAACAGCAACAGTGCTAACATACCGACCGTGACCCGCAAGAGTGTACCTAAGCTTACAATTCGCCAAATTCCAAACTTTCACCGTCTTATCCCACAACGCCGACACAATCGTCGGCGTAATCGTGTTGGGACTAAACCTAATGCAACTAACCCAATCACGATGCCCTTCACCGCTTCCGTCGGCAATAGTGTACTTACACTCACCTAAAGTGTTCCAAAGCTTGATCGTACGGTCAGGAGAGGTCGAAACGATCTGACGGTTATCGAGAGAGAAGGCGACAGAGAGGATGTATTCGGTGTGTCCGACGAATCTGCGAGTGGAGATGCCTGCGGCGAGATCCCAGAGACGAAAAAAAAATTGAAGAATAGAAAGGTCTAAGGAAGAAATAAGATTTAGGTATCGAAAATCTATTCCCTAGAAAATGAGCGGTATATTAAAATAATTTGGACAATCTTCAGTGGAAAAACCCGAGAACCAAATTATGCAACCAAAATGTAACTATCTGAAGGCCAATAGTTGCAAAATAGTGACATATTGTAAGAGAATAATAAAATAAAATTTACCACTTATTTGTAACCTATTATGTTTTACATTATCAAATTAGTGGCTCACAATACCCTAAACCCTAAATATCTTTTATTTGCGTTTTAAAACTGTATATAAAAGAAAACTTGTTATATATCAATTCGAGAACTTATAAAATTATTAATGTAGAATAAACTTATTGATTTTTTTTAGCCAAATCTAAATCATCACATTTACAAGTGGAGAACATGGGTTTTGTGAAGATGTGCATGTCCATATCTAAATCATTGCTATTTGCAACTATTTTGTAACATCTATATGTTTTACCGTCACAAATTACTAGCTAAAGAAACTATAAACTCTAAATGTCATTTTTCAATTTTAAAACTTATATGTAAAAGGAGATGATTGTATTTAAATAAAAATAACTTGAATCATTAGTGTAAAACAATATAACTGGATAAATTTAAACCAAATCAAAACTACTATACATGAATGTAATACAAATAGATGATACATGTTTGTAAATATTTGTGAATGTTTAAAAGTTATTAGTAACTCAAAATTATAAAATAAAAAATCCTCATTTATGGTTTTCACTATTCTCTAATGATACATAGTAACACAAATGTGAAAATAATGTATTTTAGAAAATCACTGAAACAAATATGATAGTAGTGGCAAAATAGTGACCAAAATTGCTACTACTTTATGACTAGATTATTTTTAAAAGTTGCAAATAAGTCACAAAATAAATGTACTTGTACACGATGATGACAAAAAAATTGTACTTGTACATATATATGTAGCAGCCATTACAACTAATTTTTTTTCTATGTCTGACATGTTATCATACTAATAATTAGTCACTGAATTGTTACTCTTTTCACTACAGTAAAAGGGTCACAAAATTGTTGCCACTAATTTGTCACTCCTACAAGTCAGTAGTAGCAAAACAGTCACAAATTATATACACATACTAATAATAACGCTTTTTTTATTGAAGGTGTAAATGTATAACAAAAATGTAGCTACGGTTTTGCAACTACGATATTTAAATTACATAAGTAACAAATTAATAAATATTCATATAAGACTATAATTTTAGCTGAACATACGTTGCTCTTTTATTACTATTTTGTGACTATGCAATTTAGTTGAAAAAGAGTTACAAATGCATCTCAAATTAGCAACTGTATTACTACTCCAAGATTTAGTCGCAAAATTGTAACCAAAGTACAACTCACTACGCATAATCACATAATGGTTGCAAATCCGTTTGAAGTTAGTATCACATATTTGCAACTACCAACTGTAGTTGCAATTGCAGTCACCAAATTAATGTTTTCTTGTAGTGTCCGCTCCGTCCACCACCGTCTCGGACCAATCATCACTCTCCGTATCCGTTCCCATCCAGCTATCTTCATCGCTGATGGTTCCCTCGCTCACCAAGCTCTCGTCTTAAACGAGCGCCGTTTTCGCCGACCGTCCACCCGCTGCTCCAAACAGCAGAACCACTTCCAGCAACCAACACGTCATCACGTCAGGGTTTTACGGAGCCACATGGTGTAGTCTCCGCAGAAATCTCACGTTCGAGATTCTTAATCCTTCCCGTGTGAGAACATACTCACACGCTCGTCGCTGGGTGCTCGAGATTCTCTCTGATAGAATCCGTAAGCACCACGGAAGAGAAGAAGAACCGTTCGTTGTTGTTGAACATTTTCAGTACGCCATGTTCGCGCTTCTGGCACTTATGTGTTTCGGAGTAAGCTCGATGAGAAACAAATAGAAAACGTTGGATATGTTCAAAGACGTATGCTTCTTGGCTTCCCTAGATTCAATTTCTTGAATCTCTGCCCTAAGCTAACCAATATAATATTCAAAAGGAAATGGGAAGAGTTTCTCCATATCCGGAAAGAGCAAGAAGATGTTCTCCTTCCACTGATTCGTGCTCGGAGGAAGATCGTTGAAGAAAGGAAGAAGAAAGACTATGTGCAATCATATGTTGACACTCTACTCGATCTAGAGCTTCCGGATGAGAAAAGGAAGGTGACCTAGAACGAAATTGTCAGCTTATGCTCAGAGTTTCTCAACGGCGGGACTGATACAACAGCGACGACGCTGCAATGGATCATGGCCAATTTGGTAAAAAATCCGGAAATCCAAGAGAAGCTATACCAAGAGATCAAAAGCATGATCCGAGAAGAAGCAAAAGAGATCGAGGAAGAAGAGGCGCACAAGATGCCGTATCTGAAGTCGGTAGTGTTGGAAGGTCTCCTGACACATCCTCCGGGACATATGGTCCTCCCACACAGCGTCAAAGAGGACACTGTGTTGGGAGGGTACAAAATACCCTACAAAGGGATGGTTAATTTCATGGTGGCGGAGATAGGGAGAGATCCAGTGGTGTGGGATGAGCCAATGGCGTTTAAGCCGGAGAGATTCATGGGAGAAGAAACGGTGGATATAACCGGAAGTAGAGGGATTAAGATGATGCCGTTTGCAGCAGGAAGGAGGATTTGTCCGGGAATCGGGCTAGCGATGCTGCACTTGGAGTACTATGTGGCGAATATGGTGAGGGAGTTTGAGTGGAAAGAAGTTAAAGGTTGTGAAGTTGACTTGGCAGAGAAGGTGGAGTTCGCTGTCGTTATGAAGCATACACTTAAGACTCGTGCTGTTCCTAGGTGAAGTTCCGAAACTGGAGTTTTCAGAGCAGTTGATTTCGGAGGTGGTCTTTATGCTTTTAAACGAGCTTCTCGTTAGTTTCAGTTCCCTAGAAAAAGGGTTTGAATCTGATCTGTCATCTCTTGAACTTGAGCTCCTCCAATCAAAGCTGCTATAAGAGCAAACAAATTAAACTAAATTTGAAACTATCTTTTGGCGGTAACATATTTTTAGAGGATAAACGAAAAAATGGTTTTGTTAAAATCAAATATCTTAAAATTGTGAAAAACACATTCAAATAGCATTAAAACAAATTTTATCCTTAACAACAGTACACAAGAGGGAGAAACTCCAAAATAACTCATCAAAAGGTCAAATGGAAAATTACGTTTAGTGATTGAAACTAAGCTTAGATATTAAGGATTGAGGTTAACATTAGGTTTAAGAATTATAATAATTTAGGAAGATTCTCTCTTTTTCTCTGTTATTTTGTGACAACAAAACTTTCAAGCATATTTATTAGATTTAGTCTTACTCACAGCCCAGCTTCTTTACTAACAACGGTCAGGACAAGTCTAGCAGCATTGTATTTTATCATTAAAAACAAAGAGGCTTCTTTTTTTATTTCGCCAAACAAAAGTGTTCCCATTAAAACTCTAAAAACAAGATTGAAATTGCTTTCTTCTGTCTCTGCAAATCACTTAAATGTTAGCTTCAGACCAAACATTCTCATGAACCATTCTTTTAGCTCAGAAAATCCTCAGGAGAAGTTAACAAACTATTAATAGGTTCTGAGTATTTGACCAAATGACATTAATACAATTAAACAAAGTACTTGTTACAACTTACAAGTTACATATACACCACTTTATAGATGTTTTACCAACATATTATATAAACAATACATAGGGAGTGAGATTCTTTTCTCTCATCCTCTTCCCAAATGGGCTAAACAGAGAGAATGGAATGTAAACTCCCCTTTCTGTCACTCATTTCCGTTTTCCAGAACCGATAAACTGGAAACCTTGTTTGGAGCATACGAGAACAAGGATAAATTGACTTCTCCTTCAGCAGAAACACATGAAGCTGCTCAAAACCAAGTTCCAGAGGATGAACAAAGTTGAAATTTCAGCAATTAAGATGTGAGTTTTCTGTTGATTTTAATTTTTTTGAACTTACTCTTAAATATTGTTTTAATCAACTCCTCAAGAACATATAATACACGATTTTCAGGACTTCTTTTCATTCTGCAAAGAAAATGTTGTTGCTAGTGGGAAATCACCACTGGAGATTTACCTTGAAGAACCACCTATAGACGGGAAGGTGTTTGCGAGTTTGGATATCTTGGATTATTGGAAAGAGAACTCGAAACGTTTTTGTGCATTGGCTTTAATGGCGTGTGACCTTCTTAGCATCCCTATCACAACCGTAGCTTCTGATTATCTTTCAGCATAGGAGCTCGAGTTCTGAACAAATACAGAAGTCTTCTGCTGCCCAAACATGTCCAAGCACTAATATGTATGTTAAAGGGATTTGAAGCTTATGAAAATGGTAATAACCTTTATTATAACAAGTAATTAAGACTACTATCATGGTTCTTGATCTTTATTATAGTTATCTAATTCAGTCTGGATCATATATGTAGAGGAAGATGAAGAATTTGTTGATGATGAGACATTACCATCATTTGAATCCATTGTCAATAAAGAAGATGAAGATTGATGGAGAATCATTTTTAATTTAGTATTTCAGTTCAGCTTGTTGGTTTTTACATTTCCCTTTAGAATTTAAATTTGACATATTTACAGTGTATTTGGTGCTGAATTTATGGTTGGAATTCCTTCGGTGTTGGATTTATCATTTATGTTTGGAATTGATTTGGTGTTGCTTTTATGTTCTTTTGGTTATAGAAAGCATTGCTGTGTCTCAGTGTTTGTTTCTTTACGAGCAACTACCTTGTATGTTGCTTTAAAAAAAACTACGGTTTAAACTAACTCGTCTATTGCATTGTCTAACATATCTTAATCTCATGAGCTGCTGCCTAAAACATATAACTGCTCTGTTGCTTTTCTAAAAATAACAAAGTTGTTTCATACAGGCTGAAACCCATAAGTTTGAGATTGATAAAGAACAAAGCTTTTTCTGATGTAGTTAAATCAAAATCTAAGAGGGGAAATGCAGCAAAATCTGCATAAGAACTGCAACAGTAAGTTGAATCGTTTTCTAATATTTTTTTCACTCGGTGCCTCTAGCTCCTTCCTGTTTGGAATCACCATTCCATGACTACAAGGCTTCTATGGTCTGTATCTCCTATGTGTTAACATCTTCCCTGGTTTATAAGAGTGTAACTTGTGTGTTTTCAGGTATGAGTTAAACCTTCTAAAGAATTAATGACAGAGATCTTTAGTGAGACTGGATTCAGGCAGTTAACACAAATGTTCCTGGCGATAAAATTCTTCCACACATCTCAATACATTCTTTCCAGAGCCGTTCACGGACCAGCGAGAACTATATGCTATTTTAATGTAGGTAACCCGCGGGTCAACCCGCAGACAAAGTAAGCTAGGTGTGGCGGGCTTGGACAAG